GGGGGGGGGGGAGACACACAAAATGCAACATACTGCTAGAAGGAAAGATGAACCACAGAGAGAGTCTGTGAGCCAAACTGAAAGCAGAACACAAACCCAGAATTCACGTCGGTCAGCAAGATGCCGACAAATCGCACAGCTGACGAAGATTCACACGTACGGTATTGTCTTGCTCATGGGGTCGGCAAAAATCCTTCTAAGCACGTCAACCAATCATGAGAACAATGGGCCTGTTCAGGACGAGAGATCAGCGACCCCAATGTTCACACGGAGAAAACACGGGTACAACTATTCTAAACATATCCAGACTGTAAAGTAGGAATGGACCAACATAGCTTTCCAGAGGGTTCCTTTTTTTGCACTACAGTTCCCATAATCCTACACCACTAGCTAGGCTCGTTATGGCTGATGAGTGTTATAATTAAAAAAAATTAAAAACAAAGCACAAGGCTATACTTGCCACCCTGACTATGAAGGGGTTTGATGCCCTCAACGTTTTGAGGCCCTCAATACTATGAAGGGGTTTGATGCCCTCAACGTTGTGATGCCTTCAACGTTGTGAGGCCCTCAACATTTTGAGGCCCTCAACGTTCCAAGCAACGTTCCAATCTTGACCACCTCTCTCATGAAGGGCAAACCCAACTGCAAATGTGGCCACTGGATTCTACCCATCGATTAAGATTAAAAAGTATTCTTGGCGCACATGGACAACAGACCCACCTACTTCGATGTCTGAATAAACAAGACCTAGAGGGCAGATGACTTCTCCTCGAGTGGAAGCACGTCTTCTGTCTAGTTCACATTTTCCTCATACTTGTCTTCGCCGTGCTCTCCCCCATCTTCCCCTTTAGAGGGTAGAGAAGAGGGGACTCCCTGCCCGGCTCTCACAACAGGCTCTGTTCACACACGCACGGTCTGTTCAAACGGTCTTTCTGCCCATCCATGTCAGTTACAGATCCCAAGGCGCTGCCTTACTGGGAAGCGTCTCCATTTTCACAAGGCCGGGCGAACCATTTTCAACAATCTTTCAGTCCTTTTAAGCATCCTATCCTTTCCTCCTGCGGCTTTGAGAACCTTGCAAAAAAGACTGGAAAAACGAAGGCATTTTTCGTTTCCCCTCCTGAACAAAAGTGGTTGCTATTTTTTTTTAAAGTACTGATGTTTTTCGTCCGTGTCGGAAAATCAAATCTTGTCGCAGCCACCCAGTTCTCGGCACTTCAGAGGAAGAGAAAACTGGCTAGCGTTCGTTACACCCTCAGTTAGGAAGCGGGACAGAAGAAAAATGTAGGATATTCTAGACAGGAATGCCTAATCATGCCCTGTATACTTTGAAGGAGAGGTGCAGGAGCACAACTTCAAACAGATGATGGGTATCTTCTTCCTACAGAAAAGCCGTCAGGATCCCTATTATGGGATTCAGCGACAGCAAGGGGGGAGTGGAGAATCAGCACACAGGTGAGAGCCATCTTAGGGTGCAAACCTATCATGCTAACAGCACTGACTCACTGCTGATCAACTCTACAAACTACCCTTCTGGTATCAGAGATGCACAAGACCCATAGTTTCGGCTTTGCGCCTGCGATCTACACCAAAAGCCAGCTAGATCCCTTTAAATTCCCACTGAAATGAAACAGGACCTTATTATTTCACAGGATTCTTCACAGCGCAATCCCACTGTCAGAAACACGGCTCGCCATAACCCACTAAGCTTATTCTCTCGGGAAAATACCTAACGGTTTCAATCTAAGACCCCCCCACACACCGATTCCAGCGTTCTTGGTTGGTCCTTGGCAGTTTAAGCGGCAAATATTTTCCAAACCATGTCAAGCTGATGAGCTTTGTTCCAATCCTCCTCGTTTGTTCTAGAAAGCAAAGCCACTCATTGGTTTCAGGTTTTAAGAGCAAAAGATTTCTTACAAAGAGCACTTGTTGAGGAAGCAAAGATTTTGAGTTGGCTCTAAAGGCAAGCCAGCAGCCAGCTTGACCCAAAAAATTAAAATAAAATAAAAATCCCAGCTCCCCCCCTTTCAAGAATTGGGGGGGGGGAGAGAATGGCAAGCCGCTACATGGAAAAAGAAGGAACAATTGGCACACATCAATCTTTGAGACATATATAATTCTATAAATATATATAATTTCCTATGCCTGGCAGGATATCACTTGACACCAGAGACAAAGGAGAAAGAAAAGCCAAGGGAACACCAAATAGCTATGTGAAACTCAGTGTAGAGCATCCACTGATTATTAAAATGTCCTCACAATCAGCACCATAGGAGACCGGCGTAGAAAGGAGGAATGAAATTCCGCTGGAGCGGCTCGTTCTGCTGAGTGATCTGCCTATAAATGGACACTGCAGATCCCCCAAACTCATTGTTTCCCGGTTTGGAGAGACACCCGCTTGTAGGGGTCACCCCGAGAGATTCACGCTGCAGCCACAGAACGGATCTCGCTCGTCCCGGAGTCTAAGGCAACCCATAAGACCTGCTCGCTCTTCATGCCAACAAACAAGGCAGAAAAAAAGAAGGACTTTCTTAAGTTTTGGTGATGATGGGAGAGCAGAGATTCCCTACATTTTGGCCAATGAAGTCTACAAGAATAAGGCAGGGCCAGCATATCCCAGATCAGCCACCAAGCAGCTCGGACAAATGGGAGGCATCCGCTTAGCGGCTAAAGAGCTAATCTGCCTGCTCCAGATATCTGAGAAGGAAAAAGGAGCCTCACTACAGGAGAAGTTGGATGAGACCAGAGAAGAACTAGACCAATCCCGGGCTTAGCTGTCAAAGCTTGCAGAAAGAGCCGGGAAAGGCAAAAGAGCAGCAATCCAGCTCAGATGAACTCCAATCCAAATGGCAGTGCTCTGAAATGGAGATAAAAAGAAAGGACGAGGAACTAAACCTTTTGCAGATGAAGTTGTCGGAGGTCTCCCCTCAGCTTCACGAAAGGCTTAACTCTCCGGAAGTCTTCCTGGGTGCAAGCCAGAGGAGAGGAGAAAATCAAAGCTGTGGAGGAATCAAGCCAAACAAATGTCAGCGGGCTCCCGTCATGACAGCAAGAATCATTTCCCCGGTCTCCACTTTAGAGAAGGAAGCGGTAGGACTCAAAAGATACAACTGAACTGTTGAAAGGGGGGGGGAGCAACAATGACCTTCAAGAAAAGAATCCGGAAGCAACTGAAGCTTTGATTTCCACAGAAAAGTCTTATGAAGGAAAGTGTCTCTCTTCAGTTAAAGCAAAGGAGGCATTCGAGCAGCAATTTGGAATGATTCAAGAACACGGAAAGAAGGTGCTATTTTTTCTCTTCCCACCCTGTCAGGGGATCAAGAGAGACACAATGCAGGAGAAGGGGGCCGAAGCAGATAGTGACATGGCACTTTTGATGAGAGAGGCTAATGCATTACTGAGCATACTACAAGCAGCATGCGATCCATATACGACCATTCTTGGACAGACAGTAGGGACGCTCGGGGACTTGCAGAAGAGCATGGAGGAGGAGGAACCGGTGTGGGAAGCAAAGTGGGCTGCCTCCGAAGAAGCTCTACAGATGTTCCGAAGGCAAAGGAAATGTCTTCAGGATGATGTGGAGAAGTTGAAGGTGGAACTACAGAAAACAGAGAAGTTTAAAAAGCACAGTAGGGCCCCTTTAGACACAGGATCAGTATCCAATGATTCATTTATCCACGATCTGAAAAATATTAACAATTTACAAAGAAAAATCCCCAACATATAGATTTCAACGTGAAGTTACAAAAACTGGCCACTAGAGTGAGCCAGAGACCATGCTATGTATAACGTTGGCTGGAGAATATATATTTTCATCATGTCATTACCAGAACTGGCTGCAACCGACCATGCTAAATTTGCTATTAGCATTCGCTACAGTCTACATTTTTCAGCATCCATGAGGAGGGGCCTGTCGCTGATCCCTGAGGATACAGAGGGATCCTATGGTGCATTTCTCTTTAGGAAGCACCGTTGGAAAATAATTTGGCAACTGCAGATTCTGAACACCAGAATTATGCAAAAAAAAAGGTGGATGTTTGAAAGAACCATCATCTGAATCCCAAGACAGCCAGGAAGCAATGGGGGGGGGGAAGCTCTCAAGAAAAGCCAGGAGCTTGCTTGCACCAGTTAAGGAATGAAGGAGTCACTTGTAATCTGAACTGGGAAGTACACATCAACGCCTCTGAAAACGAGGATGTTCTCCAACTCCAGGGAGAAAATGAAGACAATGCTAAGGAAAGGAACATCTGTTTTTGACACACCCAGAATCAAGGATGCGTTCTTCACCTTACTAAATGCCTTCTCTGTTCCTACAATATGCACTTGTTTCCTGCAAAGAGCAAAACGATGATGATAACAGCAAGGACACAGTATTTTATTTGGGCTTAATTGAAAGATTTTTTTAAAATTACGAAATACAAATATATATATTTATTTAATGCGGGGTGGGGATGGGAAGTAACCAAAGTGCTACACACAATCTGGATCAACACCTAAGTCAAAACCTCGATTTGCTTTTGCTGTGGAGAAGTAGATTCACTTCACATCCTGCCAATGCGTCATCATCATCTTCCTCAGCCCCTTAGGCCATCTTGCCTGGATATTATCTCAGGCAACCTCGGGGGAGCCCGCTAACATCAGCAGAAGAAAGTAAAAGCTAACTTGGCTTCCACCACGAGGAAAAATCAGCATCTCTGATTCACAGTAACAGCTAGTTTCCCATTTAAATATGGCTTCCAATGATTATTTAACCTGCCCGGAGTAGCACAGCTTTCCGGCTCCTGAACAAGAACAGAACAAAGGAAGAGATGTCAAAGAACATGTATCCAGTTTCCCCCGTTTCCCCCAGAGAAATAAGAATGCCGTAGGGAACTGGCTGCAAGGGTTGGGGGACACAAAATATTACGACAGCGTGAATACACATTAGAGTTCATTGTTGTTAGCACATACTTACATATGGTCCAAAGAAACTGCGGAGAAGATAGCATCAGTGTGTCCTGAAGGTCAGGCATCAGACCGCTAGCCTGCCATTAGCACACCATTACTAAAACTTTCCTTGAGAACACTACATTCCTTAAGTGGAAAAGGGGCATCAAACAATTAAAAGCCTTTCCAGCATTACCCCCACCACCACCACCATCGTGGTAAATTTGTTGGGGCTGTGTTGAAACGAAAAAACAGAGGTCCTTTACAGATTTATTTCCACCCATGTGTTATTTCGTGGGGGGAAATAAGCACCCTTATAGAAACCCTACCCACCACCTATGTCCCAGGCATACTTTCCTTGATACTAGGTATTCTGCACTGTCTATTTCTCCACCGGGAGCAACAGAGGCTGCTTCCCTATACTGTATATCTCTACCAGTAAGTAAGTCCTACTGAACTCAGTGGGGCTTACTGGTGAGTAGACAAACCCGAGGACTGCACGGTGAACTCTCCAACCGCAGCCTAGTGTGGAAGAATCCCTGCCCACCCATCAACCGCTGTAAGGAGGCCTGCCTGTATTTGCAGATCTTCCAGAGAAATGCAATCACACCCTCTTCAGTGGATGGGAACTTTGGGTTGACACTGGAGATTTGGCCGTTGGTTTTTTTCCAAAAATAAAAACAGTTCATGTCTCACATCTCGCAAAGAAAAGAAAGAAGAAGGCTACGGCTGAGGATCTGAGCAGCGAAACGGCAACTGAAACAAGCCGGCGAACCCTCCCCTTGCTTCTGACCATCGCAAGCACCTGGATCACAGCACCGACGGCAAAGAGGAAACACCACCTATGTGTCACTGCATGGCCGAGACAGCGCCCAGCACAACATTCTCCCCCGTGCTCTCCCCAAACTCCCCAGATGGCACCCACAGTCCGGTAGACCCAGCGCCTCTCTCTTGTCTTCTTTCGGGCTTGGAACGAGAAAGTAAAAAGAAAAAAAAGAAAAAAAAAGGGAATTCGCGCGGTTCGGCCTGACGGGCGAATCCACGGTGGCCGTGGGGGCGGCGGGAGTGTGGAGAGATACAGACACAGGCTACAGCTAGGAAGGGAGAGCTGCCTAAGACACTCGGAAGCACGTGGTACGCTAAAAGACAGAACAGCGAAGGTTTTCTCACCCAGCTGGGACGGGCGGGGAGGGTTGGCGCCGGGAGAGGGAGGTTGGTCGGCTTGGTTAACTATTTGACTGGGAGTTAGTTAATACTGAGAGTGTATAGGTAGAGTCGGAGGGCACCACGCCATCTTCACAGGACGAGACCCTAAACGGCTAACTTGACGGACAAGAAGACTGCAGTTAGATACTGTTAAGAAGAACACATATTTAGGGACCGGGGGAAAAAGGCGGCTAAGGTGCTACGTCTAAAACTAAGTTTACTTTTCGTTCGGTTCGGAGCCCTCCCCCTCCGTCGCTTCATCAGTCGTCATCCAGGGCCTCTGTTTTGATCTCGCTGGTGCCTTGCCGGGCCAACGCCAGGATGGTATGGTTTACCGCTGCCATCTCCACGGCTAGTGAGATAGGGTCTTGGTGGTCGCTATGGCTCGTGCTGTCATCCTGGAGAGATCGGAGGAGAATGGGAGGGGGCGGGAGGGAAAGGGAGGCGGGTGGGGGGAGAGGGGGTCCCGTTAGCATCGTTCAAAAGCCAAGTGGTCTGCATTTGCAACAGGAGCTCATACAATAAGCCAAGGGGGAGGGGGTTTGATATGGCATGCGTCACAGGCTTTGGTGGTAGGGGAAACGGGAGGGAAGGGGAAGGATGGATGGAGATCATCGTTGCTCCCCGAGATTAAGAAAAGGAGAAAGGAGAAAGGAGAATCCAAGGAAGTTCAAAGTTGTGAAGAAAGCAAAACAGGCCAGCTATATAGGATGAACCCTCTTGGAAATCCTGCCTTCTCCCAATCCAATCTTCTGCCAGAAACCCAACGGTTACATAATTCCCGAGATCAAAATTCCGCAAGCAGAAATCTGAAATTCTGCAACTGGACTACGGTATGGAAATTAAACAGAATGTGCAGGCTTTTTAAGTTCAAGTAAGTCAGGTGGCGGGAAGGTTGAGGTGTTTGGGTTGTTCGTATTTAGCTAGACAACAGAGGTGTCAGCTGGCACACAGGAGGTGGCTTCTCTCCCTCCGCTGCAAAAAAAAAATCATTCAAGAGGGAGGAGAGCAAGAGGAGCAAGTACAGAATCATAACTATTGGCGCCAAGCCAGGTCCCAGGGAATGACTCTGGCTTAGCTCCATGGGAGCCATGGAGGGCGTGATTCCTATGTCAAAAGGGGATGATGAATTTGTGTTGGGTTTTAGTCAGAACAGGAGCTATCCGGGGTCGTGCACTAGGGTCGGGTGGTTGGAAAGCTCCTTTGCGGAGCAGAGCCTATTCACTGCCCCTGTAACATTGGACTCAGTTGTCCCTGTTTTGGGGGTGGGGGCAGGAAGACCTCCATTGCTGTATCAAAACCACGAACTGGGGGGGCACGGGGGAAATATCCAGGATCCTACTTTCACACTCCACAGAAGAGACCAACACAGGCATACATAGCTCAGATATGGCTAACTATTCTGAGAGGAACAAGAGAAATGAATCCACATGATGACTCTAGACGGGCCATTCTCAACAAGGAACCCCCTATGGCCCATTGGGGGGGAATGATCCCTTTGAAGGGAGCCACAGATTCATCCCTTAATGTTGGATCCTTGTTTGCACACAGCCCATGGCTTTCCTTGCTTGACAGGAGAAAGGGTGGGAATGGCAGCCGGAAAGCATTCCCTGTGCACTGCTATAAGCGACATGGGCGGCTTTCATGTGAGCGAAACTCCCTTTCTATCTCCCAAAGGTAGCGTCAACTTGAGCATTCATGTGTCTCCATCTGCTTGTGACCATATGTTATTGGCTTTTTAATTTGATGCTACGTGCCTTGATATTTTACGATCTGTTGCAATCCATTCAAGGCCCATGTTTTGTAGTGGGTACAGTATTTTTCAAATCCACAAACCAAAAGCCCTCCCCCCCAACCGGGACCTTACGCTCCAAAGATTTCTCAAAACGAAAACAGAGAGATCGACTACCGGGGAGGTGTGTTGTCTGAAGAGTTACACAACAGTCCCCTCAAAAAAAAAGTTCTGCTGAAAGGCCGATTCTGATTTTGTGCTAAAACAGCAAAAGGGAATTCAAATCTTGTTTATAACGCACAAGAACAATTTTATGGGCACTGTTTATGGGGTCAAATGAGGAGGGGGGCAATAAGTTTCTGCTTGTAATGTGAAAGTCAGGTAGAACTATCTTGGAAGATCAGGTGGGCACCCTCCCTTTTATCTTTCCAGTGATAGCTGAATACCCACCTTGTCAGGAAGGCTTTTAACAATCATAACTGAGCCCCTGAAATGCCGTTTTTTAGTTAAGACTGTTAACTAAGAAGGGATTGGTAAACCACTTCTGAGTATTCTGTCCCCCGAAAACTCTGGAAAGGGTTGCCATAAGTCGGAATTGACTTGGTGGCACCTAGTTATTATTAAAAAGAGCAAATACTTTTCAGAAATATTGAATTGCTTACTAACTGCTCTACACCCAATGGCATCTGATTTATTATCTTTATTAATATTTTTTAAAATATCACCTTTAAGGTCTTTTGTATATCACATGCCCCGTTAAAATTACCGTCGAACAAATATAGAATCATCATAATCTGCGCTATCTAAAACCAGTCATTCAATAGTAAAAGAAGCAACACTTTAAAAAAAACCACTCATTCAAAAATCTGGGCACCTAAAAATTAATCAGGAAAGGGGGATGTAAGTAAACTGTTTCAGGAATCTGAGATTAGTAACATAGAACAAAGGAAGCGAGATAGAATTCTGGCAGGAAGTAATTTAAAAGTCAAGGTGCCACCCCTCGGAAGGCCCTGTCTTTTGAGCTCACTTGTTTCCCGGACTTTACTGCCAAGCTCAAGAAGCAGAGGCCAATATTAATAGTCAGGAAAGCTCACAAGCGTATAGATCAGGGTTGGCCATATTTCACAGCTTTGGAGACCATTTCTGGGGAAGACTTTGGGGCTTTAGATACAGTGGTGCCTCGCTAGATGATGATAATCCGTTCCACTGAAATCGCTGTTTAGCAAAATCATTGTCTAGCGAATAGCATTTCCCCATTGGAATGCATTGAAACCTGTTTAATGTGTTCCAATGGGGAAGAATCATTGTCTAGCGAAGATCGGCCATAGGAAAGCCACTTTGCGAACCACCGATCAGCTATTTAAATAGCTGTCCTGCGAAGCTTAGATCCCAAAAACACCCGTTTAGCGAGTGCGGAGGGAGCTGTCAAAATCGTTGTCTAGTGAAAATCGGTTTGCAAAGCAGGGACCAAACATTGTCCAACGAAATTCCCCCACAGGAATCACTGTTTTGCGAATCGCTATAGCAATTGCAAAAAGTCAATGTCTAGCGAAAAGACTGTCATGCGGGCTAACTGTCTAGCGAGGCGCCACTGTATGCCCCTAAAGGAATGCATGAGACCCATGGACCCCCTTGGCTCATCCCAGTAATGATGGACCGTCAAGTGACATGCTTCCTGGTTTAAGGCTCTAAAGACTTGGTCCTTAGGACTTTGAAGGTAACAACCAATACTTTGAACCTGGGACCAGAAGCACACAGACACTCAGTGGAATTCGCATAGAACTGGTAGTCTACGTTCCACCTGCTGTGACCCGCAACCATCTAAGCTGATCTATTCTACACCAGCAGAAGCTTCTGAACTATCTTCAAAGGGAGCCCCACCCACATCACATTATAGTAATCTAGCCTGGATCTCCGCAGTGGAACAAATAATTAATTCTACGGTCCTTTGATTATCGTCTACATCATCTCTTAAGAGAGGCCTGAGAAAATTTAACAGGATTCAGGATAAAATATAATTGCAAGAATCCTGTTGCATACTTATGCAAATGGGGCAATGCTTAGCTGCTATAAGTGGAAAAACAGGATTGCAGCCATGATTTATTTCTCACTGAGTTGTGCGACTTTGTATGCCACAAATAGTGCAGAAGGAAATTTCCCAACTTAGGGCAACTTTTTAAAAAAGATGAAAAATTGTGTGTTTTGACTAATGGCACAACAGGATTTCAGCCAATGTTTGCCTAAACCATGTTTCAAATTTCACAGAAGGAAGGCCTTCTAAAACTTAAAAGATTTACTTGGCCAGGTGTTAAACAAGGATTTAGAAAAGCTGTTGCCCTCCTCCAGCAGTTCCTCCCTTTATTTCTTAGAACTACTGAGCATCTTTTTTTCCAATTAAAAGTTCTCAAGATGATGCACAGAACAGATACTTTTGAACTGTGCGGGGTCCATATTTTTCAGGTCACGCAGCCAGGCGAATTCCAGGAGTCAAATTTTTTAAAAAAATACAAATTTGCATAGCTCAGATTCTAAATAAGACTTCCTCCCCCGTTTGGGTGTTGTCTCCTCTTGCTTCCTTGAATGGAGAATGGAACACAAAGCTTGGTGGATGACGAACAATCCCACCAGAGCGGATTCCTTAAGGAGGAAGCCCCACATGCTTTGAGCATCAGCGGTCAAGCAGGGCCACAAGGCATTTACAGCCCAAACAAGATGAACGTCATTGGCGAAGTGGCAGACTCTGTGCTCATTGAAACATGGCAGACCACAAGGGCGCCCGGTGATAAAACCATTAAGCAATGGCTTCACCGTGAAGCCCTCTGGCACTGCTTTTCATAGAAGTTCACCACTGTTTCATGGTGCTCAGTCGTTGGACTGGAGCTTCTGGAGACCTGAGTTCGAGAACTACTGATGTACAACAACTGGCCCATTTAATGCAAGGTAAACCACAGCTGAAGGATCCTCCATGGATGGTGGTTGGGAATTTTGCATAAATGTTCCCTTAGGAAAGCTACGCCAGGATGAATGAATGTTGGGCAAAAGGATAAATTTTCCATGGGAGAGGTGCTCCGCAGAGGAAGAGCTGTACACTCTGAGAATACTGACGCCCGCTCCCCTCCTCACCCTAAGCACCAGGCAAAGGGAGCAGAAACACAGTGGCTGAAATCCTGTTGCTCAGCTGTTAACTCAGACAGGCCCACTGAATCAATGCGGATCTGGTGAGATAGTTCTCCATAAGTTCCCCTGATACAATGGGTTGACTCTAGTAGCAAATTGCTATGCTAAGCAACAGGATTTTGGCCTCAGAATCTTACTTAAGCCGGGAGGAGGGAGATGGAACAAAGGTTTGACACAGCATTAAGACTGCCTACTGGATTCTTTCACCATGTCCCCTTGCGTCTCTCCTTAGCCTTCCCCCTATCAATTAATTTCCACAAGGAAGGGAGAGACTGCAATATGGCCCCAAGAGCAGCCAATACATCAAAAAGTGTAAAAGGGAACAAAATGACAGAGTAGGCCTTTGGTCTAGATGGGCAGGGCAGAAATTCAATAAAATAAATAAATAAAATAAAAGATGCTGTCAAGATTTATCCAACAGCAGAAAGTCAGGAGAGAGACGAAAGATGGCGGTCAGACGGCATCTACAGCTGGAAAAGAGCCAACTGGGCCCACATGTCGACAACCAAGTGGCATGTAGTTTGCCTGGAGGGCGCTCAAAATTCAACTCCAGACGGGACCTTTAGAAAATTCTGTCCATCCTCTTTTCCCAAGCGACTTGCCCTCCTATTGCACTGGACCTCCATGTGGTTCAGGTAATGAGCCATCATCTGGGCTGAGGGGCATTGCCATCAGAAACACATCTGGTGGGAACCGGAAGGAGGCAGACAAGGCTGAACTACGGGGAGCACCAGTCTTCCTTGTTTTAAGAGAGAGTCTGGTGTTCCTAGAAATACAGATGTTGCAGTATCTACGCCAAGGGTCAGGGGAGTGCCAGCCGTGAACTGTATGCGGTTCGTCAAGGGCGTTCTTCCAGAATCCAGAACGGCCAGTGCAAAAATGCTGTGTGCATCACACAATGTGTGTGTGTGTGTGTGTGCGAGCGAGCGAGCGAGCGAGAGAGAGAGAGAGAGTCATTGGGAGTGTTTGCTTTAGCATGGGCCATGCCTTCCGACCCACCAAACCTGAAAGGCGGTGTGTGTGTGTGTGCGAGAGAGAGAGAGAGAGAGAGAGAGAGAGTGTCATTGGGAGTGTTTGCTTCAGCATGGGCCATGCCTTCCGACCCACAAAACCTGAAAGGCCGGTTGGGGGAACTTCCATCCCCCCCACCTCCCTAGTTTTCAACCACTTCTGCCCTTGTCCCGGCCTGCAGCAGGTCCTGGGGATGAAAAATTTGAGATGCAGGCCTTCCAAAATCCTCACATGTGAGCTAACTTAAAAAAGCAATTTAAAAACAAAAAAATACTCCACCTGCCACCAGAAAACCAAATTGGCCCAAGCGATCCTTCCTGAGGGCATTCAGAGAGAGAGAGAGAGAAAAGAAGAAGCGGGAGCACCACAACAGGTTTGAAATGTTGTACTACAACTCCCAAAACCTCTATTTTGAGAAGTAACTTTCCCCAAAGACCCTCTTGTGTTTTTTTCTGCGAGAAGGGACTTTTCCAAGCTTCGTTCCATCTCCACTGGCAAAGGGGCCTTAAAACGGGCCTCCGTGGAAGAGCTCAACCCAAAGGCTTTGGCGCGATGGAGCCTGGTTTTCTTCCGTGGCGAAGGGAATGGGAATGACTGGCCCGCTGGCACAACCTGCATTCCATGAAACCAACCATGAAACGGTAGTTTGGAGGGCCCGCTGGCCTCCTCCAGGGAGAACGCTACTTTCCTCATCCAACGGCAAATCCTAAGAGGGCACCATGTCCGTTCTATCCAAATGAGGTAGCGCGGATGCACCTATGGCACGCCTGGTAGATTCCCTCTCCTGATGGGGCCTCTGGGGTCAACAAGGTCAAGTCCAGCCCATGGCCCAGAAAATATCCGGTCAACCCTTCCGATCCACATGGAAAATGGCCGCTCTTTTGCACAAATGGCCACACTATTAAATGAATGATAAATGCATCCAATCCTTAGGACGTCAGAAGCATGCAACTTTCAGCATTCATTTGTACCAGGGGGGTAGGGTGGAGAGGTGGCGAGGGTGGGGGAGGAAGGAAAAGAAAGAAAGGCCTGTACATTTTGATGCTATAAGCAGGGCTGTGTGTTCCACCCCAAACCTGCCTTCCAGAAAGAAGCCCTTGCAGGGAAAACTCTACCATATACTCCGAACCTTCACCAAACCTGTAGAATTGAACGAATTTGTTTCCAAGCTTTACGCTTGATGGGCTGGGTTGGGTTGTCATCGTTGGGATAAAGGAGCACAGGAGGAGAATCTGAGATCAAGGCTATAGACCCGGTGAAATCAGACAGCCAGTGTAGGAAAAGGGATGAGCAATGTTATTCTGTAGAACCGAGGAGGGCTTGACCTGTCCTCTTTTTTCCTCCCAACATCGAGAAGCGTCCAATCCCAACTGTGCACAACACTTTAGTTTCAGAACCTCCACTGAACAGCACCCCCTATCTAGTCCAGCTTCTTCGATGCTCCAAAACCATGAGGCCTAGAAACGTGTTTTTTTTTCTCTAAAAGACAAAAACCACAGAGTCTCGTAGGATACACACAGCTCTGGTTATAACAGCACATGGTATTCTTTAAAATAAATAAATTAATAAAAACAGAAACCAGACATGGGATTCTCTATGCATGGCGGTGTACACCGGGAAAGAGTTCAGTCATGCCCCTGAATTTCTGCAATTGGGGTGCAAAGGTAGCGTCAACTTGCTTGTTTTGAGCAGCTCCTGCTGTCTTCTAACTTCTCTGCTTCTCTGCCTCCCTCTGTACATCGTCCCTCCTCCTCCCCATTCCGTACTTGCCAAGCGTCCTGTTGTGTGACAATAAATCTGTGTGGGTGAAGGCTGGTCCAGCGGGTGGGGTGATGGGGTGGGGGTTGTAGGGGAGCTTTTTCCACCTTCCCCCATTATGTGATATGACCAAAAGCCGAATTACAGTGGTGCCTCGACTTACGAACTTAATCTGTTCCAGAATGGTGTTCGTAATTCACCATTCGTAAGTCGAAATATTCGTAAGTCGAAATATTCGTAAGTCGCATCAGCATTTCCTATAGGAATGCACTGAAAACCCGATTAATCCGTTCTGTCAGTTTTTTTGTTCTTACGTTGAGGCGCCATTCTTAAGTCAAAGCATTCGTTCCCATAGGAATGAATGCAAAGCCGGTTAATCCGTCCTCTATCATTAGGGGGAGTTTTTTTTTTAACCTAAGATGACCTAAGGTTTTAAAAAAGTAGGGAGGAAGGAAATGAACACCTTTTGAACAAAACACCTTTAAAACCAAGCAGCTTTAAACCAAGCCAAGCACCTTTTAAACCAATTTTTACATTTTAAAATTACAGTACCAGGTAGTACCAGGGAGTCCAGAGTCCATTTCCTGCTTTTTAGCAAGTTTTTTTGTTCGTAAGTCGAAGCTCTGCAAGTCGAAGCAAAATTTTGTGAACGGAGCTGTTCGTAAGTCAAATTGTTTGTATGTAGGGGCGTTCATAAGTCGAGGCACCACTGTATTTCGGGAGGCTGAAGGATCCAAGACCCGTCACCCTGCATCCTTTCTCCCGCCACCCACAAGGAACGGTGGCCTGGAAAAAAAGGGGGGCTCTCCGTTCTAGGGACCCCTCTCCCCCATTCAGCTCCGATACTGACCTGCTCGGAATAGTCGTTCCCGTCGACATCGTCGCTGTTGGAGTGACCTCCAGGACTTTGTACATCTATCCCATGACTCTCCAGGATTGCTGCTTCTTCGAAAAAAGCAAATGGATCCCTGAATTATCTGCTGCGGGGTTACCAAGAAGGATGAAGATGGAAAATGGGAGTCCTCACAAGAGAGGCACCTTAGTCGTTGTAAGAACCACGAAGAAATACCCAGAGCTGTGTGTACGCCACGCTAAAAAAACCAAAAAGTCATTTCCTCTTCTACACCAAGAAAAACTCAGTTCTGCAACCTGAATTCTGCAAAAGGAAAAACTCAGTTCTGCAACCTGAATTCTGCAAAAGGAAAAACAACACCTGGGTGAGTCCGATCAGTTTTCCAGATTTCGGATGCACATTTGCAAAATCTCATATTGGACACGATTCCCCGTAGCATTGCTAGCACACCGGGAAAGACAGGGTGCTGTCCCAGGATACTGGTGTTCTGGACACCGATTACTGGGAGTCTTAAGCAGCTGACTTCCTAGTTTCTGAGATTCTGCTATCTTGGCGGTCCACAGGGACTAGAAACTTCACCTTTTGAATGAAAGCAGCAATTCTCAGGAGCCGAATTCCGCATCCGGCCTCATGAGCTGAACTGGTTTTCTCACCCCTATAAAACTGCGGCACACACAGAGAACGTTTCCTACTAAACAGGCTTCAAATCTAAAAGACCCTTCTTCAGGAAGGGGAATCAACGAAGCCATGAAGAACATCGCCCCAAGCAAAATTCTCTCTGCGTGCTGGCCTGTCCTATATCCCTCTTTTGTTTTGTTTTCAGCTGTGCCTTGATGGTTCTTACAATAAACATGCACCCTCTGTGGAGTCCCATTTTCGTCTTCATTTCAATATGGTGCAAGCCCCTTTTGTGTGTGTTGATGCACTGTTAAAAAAGGAAAATTAATTTGGTTTGAGGAGAAAGAAAGCCCCTTTTCTTAAAAAAAAAATGCAGTAGTCAAATCAGGTTTTGGTGGAGGTTCCTGTTCAAGTATGCAATCTTTCATTCAAGTCCTGAGATCAAAATCTCAGGGCGAGCCCAAGAGATTTATCTGTCTTACAACGGAAAGCCCGGGGAACGTTGCGTTATGTTTTCAACGACAGTTCCTGGATTTCCAAGCCAGAGAGGCCAGGCTGGCTGGAGGGCTTTGAGGAGTTAACAGTCTCTCCAAAAAAACCCAGAACACCATCTAAGAACTTGGGTCTATCATCATGACCTAATTTTTTAAAAAAATCCCACTTCCCCAAGGAAGGCATCATGTATAAGCTAACAAAGGCATTGAGGTTTTAGATCGATCATTTAACAGTATAGTGGAAGGGCAGAAAAGTAACTTTTCCAAGCGTTTATCCGGCTCAAACCTCTGATTCAACGGTAGAGTGCTCTGGACCCAGGAGGCTCAAAATATAGCCATCACAGCCCCCTCTGTGGGACACTCTTTCCTCTTCAATTTTATTTTTGCATCCCCTTCTCAATTACTCCGAGCAAGTGACAATCTGTGCATCAAAGGGGTTCTGTACCCCACGTGAAATAGCTGGGATTGTTTTCTTTGCTCTGCTCTGCACCCGTTGCTACTCAGCTTTGTTGGGTGTTCCCGCGTGCCCATGGTGGGGAGGAAAAAGTCTCCTGCTACACCACAAAGATAGATAAACCTTCTTATTGCATCCCTCTAACACCGACTTGTCTGAACTAGGAAGCGCTGAGTGGATTCACCTTTCCCAGCAGAGATGGGGCACCTGCTTCGCCTCTCGTCTCTGCCTACCTCTACTGGAGGGGGAGATTTGAACACAAATGGGCGGCAAGGTCGGAAGACCCGCCGTCGTAAGATCGTGATGGACGGAGCTCCCGTCACTTGTCCCAGCTCCTGCCAACCGAGCTGTTCGAAAGCATGGAAAAATGTGAGTAGATAAATAGGTACCACATCGATGGGAATGTGACGGCGTTCCGTGTCTACGTCGCACTGGCCACTTGATCACAGAAACTATCTAGGGACAAACGCTGTCTCTATGGCTTGGAGACAGGGATGAGCACCGCTCCCTAGAGTCAGACACGACTGGACTAAACGTCAAGTGGAACCTTTACCTTTATCTATATATGCATGTGCCTTTTGGATATTGGGTATTTTATATGTGTGTAGTTTGGATATTATTCACTGTAATAAAAGTCTGTCTGTCTGTCTTAAAACAAAAACCAACACACAACGACTTCAGGAAAGAAAGCAGGCGTAGCCTATGGTGAAGGCATCTGTCCACTTGACCATTCACGACTGCCTACCCCGTCTTAAATCACCTTCCCTCTTCCACACTTCCATAAACAATATACAATGGTGCCTCGCTTAACGAGTGCACCGTTTAACGACAAATCCGCATAGCGACGTGTCTTTGTGACCGCACTGCGATGTTTAGATAGGCTAAACATTGCATTGCGATGATTGGTAAGCGTTTCGCTTACCGATCTTCGCATTGCGATGTTTAGAAAACAGCTGATCGGCGGTTCCAAAATGGCTGCCGGTTGCATTCCTTCCCTATGAGTAGAGAATAGTGAAGTTACGCTTGCACAGGAAGTGCTTTGAATTCTCTACTTAGCAGTGGCTCCCAACCTTGGGTCACCTCGGTGGTTCTTGAACTGCAACTCCCAGAAACCTCGGGCAGCCCAGTTAGTGGTCACGGCTTCTGGGAGTTGGGAGTCCCAAAAACCTCGGGCAGCCCAGTTAGTGGTCACGACTTCTGGGAGTTGGGAGTCCCAAAACACTTGGGTCACCCAAGGTTGAGAACCACTGCTCTACAGTATAGCAAACATGCATTCACAGGAAGCAGTACGATCTCTTATGCAAAATCTCACACATTGGGAATGGTTTCAGAAAATATTCTTTACAGTGACAAGAAAAGAGAAATTGGGTGAAGCTTTTAGGAGAGGGATGCTGGATAACCAGCTTACTTCTAAATCATAAACACCAAAGAGTCACTGCACATTTTGTTGAGAGTGATTGGGGAAGATGTTCCCAGTGGGAAAAAAATGGGTTGGAATGCCTTTGGAATGCAGTAGCAGTATTTCACCTTATACATTGTTAACTCAAATGAAAAGAAATCACTTTTATTAAAAATATATTTAAAATAAACAAACAAAATTCAGCGAGAGGTGCACTTATATGAGGGATTTTCCTATTCGTCTGGATAAAAACTTAAAAGGGTATGCAAATGGATGCTAATTAATTGTATCAACAGCTTGCATAATATGTAACCCACAGTGTATTTTTACATGAACAATAGACACACTCAAGACCTTCCTTTTGCATGCAACCTTCAAAACAAGGGAAAGGTATCTGGGGCCTTCCAGATGTCACCCCATACTATAACTCCCATCATCCCCAACTGCCAGTTAGCTGGGACTCATAGGAGTTGTAGTCCAATAACACTGAAGGGCCACACATTTCCAACTTCTGACTTCTAAAAAAAAATTCTTCGTGTCATCTTATGTGAAGTCCGAAGCATTTCAGACAAACGGCTAAGTTAATGGTCAACGAGGAGGATGTCAACAATGATGCATGGAGTGCCAATTTGGGAAAAGGTGTTGTTAAATACATTTATTTTGCCCCAGGGATAGCTTCAGGTCCTACTGGCAAGGAACTGTGACGCTGTCAATCAGGTGCTGATACCACAACTCAACGTACCCTACGCCGCATCAAATAACAAAGCTTTACAAACAAACAAACAAACAAACTTCACTTCCAGGGACATTTTTCCAAAGCATGTTGTCTCCTCTATGGGCATATTCAAGGGTGCACGATCAGCTCACGGACAATGCTGGTAAACAAACAAACAAACAAACAAACTCCACTTCCAGGGACATTTTTCCAAACCATGTTGTCTCCTCTATGGGCATGTTCAAGGGTGCACGATCAGCTCACGGACAGTGCTGGCCTCAGTGGGCGGGTCTCATTGCTGCCCGAAATGAATCGCAAACTCATTCTGAAGCTCATCTAATCCCCCCTCCTTGCCCACCGACAACTCTGGGTTGCAACGGAAGACCAAGAATTGCGCGGCACACGTTTTCAAGACAGCTCCTCCATCACTACTGGGGGAGAATAAAAACCAACCAACCAAAGTGCTTCCAGGAGTGGAGGAGGAGCTTTCTTGAAAGAGCTTGTTGAAGTTATTTCAGGATTTCTTGGAACGGACCTTAAGCATTCCTAAAGCAAAGTTTACAGAGGAAACAAAGTCTTTTGGGTGGATTCCAAACAGCGGCCCACATGTGTGTTCAAGCCGAGAGGTTGGAAAAGTTACTTCTCTTGGGTGACACCCTCCTCCAGCCAGCACTGGCCATGTTTCCAAGCTCAGATTCAGCCTAGCTGCCCAACGCGGAGAGGCAGACCAGCTACCTGTTCTGACCAAGCCCTTGAGGTTCTGCTCTAACGATACTCATACTCCATCCCCTCTCTGATCAGTAGCTTGCCAAGGCCTTCGGATACATTACCAATATTGGCTCGCCTCTTGATTTCCTTCCTTCTGTTCGCAAACCAGTTGTACACTTTGAGGGAGGTAACGCGCTCCAGGTCTGACAGCTTCTTTCCTAGGTGAAATAAAAAAAAAAACAAAACCAGAAACATTGGCTTTATCCAATATCCAAAATGCGGCGCATACTGTTTTCGAGCCCATGAAGGAAGGAAGCCCTGTTTTTTCCAATATGCATGCTTAATAATGTTTGTTGACACCAAGAGGTAAAAAAAAATACTTTTCAAAATTCTACCGTAACTAGCTGGACACAGGAACAGAATCCAAGGATTTGACGCAGTTCTTTAATGCTCTGCTTTCCCCCTCTAACAGAGCAGTGGACAGCTCTTAAAGGTCTGGGGTGTTTCTTTTTTACTTTGCGGCTCCTATGTGCCATCAGGTTACTTCTTAAGGATGGTGACATTATAAACTAGAAGCAGTGGTTCTTAACCTTGGGTTACTCAGGTGTTTTTGGACTGCAACTCCCAGAAGCCTTCACCATCAGCTGTGCTAGCTGGGGTTTCTGGGAGTTGCAGTTCAAAAACACCCGAGTAACCCAAGGTTAAGAACCACTCAAGTAGAGTATCAACATCCTTCTGCTGCTCTTTCAAACTTGAGGCTGTGTGGCTTCCTTTGTACAGAAAGCCTAAAGGAATCTGGCCGGCTGGACAGCTCAGCGGTTTACGTATCTGGCTTCAGAGCCTGGGGTCAGGGGTTCGATTCTCCACTGTGCCTCCTGGGAGAAGAGCCAGCCTGGGTAGCCTTGGGCCAGCTGCACAGAAGAAAGGAATGGTGCCCTGCCTAAAAGAATTTGGCTGCCTGGGCAGCTCAGTGGTTTACGTATCTGGCTTCAGAGCCTGGGGTCAGGGGTTCGATTCTCCACTGTGCCTTCTGGGAGAAGAGCCAGCCTGGGTAGCCTTGGGCCAGCTGCACAGAAGAAAGGAATGGTGCCCTGCCTAAAAGAATTTGGCTGCCTGG